CAAGTCAAAAAAGCATTCAACCAACTGAAAGTTCCATGGTCAAACTGAATTTGAATTATGTGTCCCCAAAACAAAGATGGTTAAACAGTTGTTTTATTTTTCAGAAAATAGTCTTCGAGAATTAAGGGGTACTCTTGCCTCTCTTGAAGTTCCAGTGGCAACAGCAGACACAACCTGGACACAACGTCAGGTACTCGCTGGAGCAAGAGCTAGGGAAGCAAGGCCAGTACTCCTTGATGCCAAACTCTCGGCACAGAGAGTATTAAGGCAAATATGCCAGAAATGCCATGAGGTGCAGGCCGTGATTCGATGTTTGGAGTGTGTCCCTCTGGACTTCGAATACCTCTGTGGCAAGTGTGACAAAGAGGTCCACAGGAGGCAAATCTTCCATGGCAGGATGGCAATATTTCATGGCTACCTAGAGCCTATTCCACCAACAAAAGCTGTGGTGGTGGATGGGAATGGACAGCCTCACTTTTGTGAGCAAGGTATGTTCATCCAACATTTTCCATAAACTAGTTAAGAGTAATTCCAAAAAATAAATAACATTTTTCTGTGTTGCAGTATGTCAGTTGCCTTTGCCCTACCAAAAGGGATTATGTGGATGCACGGAAGAGACTGTGGTCACCAATGGGAGGCAGATATCACTGGTCACCATGAATGGTAGGTTCTGGAAGTCCTACTTTTTGTTTCAGTACCAACTTAACAGTTCCAACTTAACGTCTGCAAGCATAGTAAAGCAGTTTCACTTCATCATTTGACATTTTAATGTCAAATGCCATGTCAAATGACTATTATCAATCCCCTTCACCACAATTGTGTCTATGAAACATCCTTAATTTAATGTAGGGATGTCAACGATTAATCGACAATCGATTAATTGTCGATAAGAAATTTAATTGATAAAACTTATCGATCATCGATTAACCATGCGCGTGCGTGCTCATGCGCGTGTGCTGCTCCACCGCGAAACATGTTAGCGAGCGTGCCGAGTTTTGTTTGGGACTATTTTATGCCTTCATCATAACAATAAGTTGGCATGTGCATTCACAGCCTTTTAATTTGTGGAAATGTAAATTGTAATAGTTTATTTTGTTTAAGTGACACCAATCTGTATCTGCTTTATCTCATATTGGATGTATTTGGTTAAGAATTGACACTAAAGCGTGATCTTTAGCCCGCGCTGCTCAAACGACATTCATACGGCTCAAATGACAATGATCACATTACATAACATTTTAAAGAAAACAATATTGTAATAACACTGTGAATTTTTTGGTTTAGATGCCGTGTCACGTTGTTACTGGAAGAGCGCGTCCACAACATGAGTCATTCTGAATGGCACGTAACATTAGGCCTAGTTCAAGTTCACTTGTGCATTCACGTCATTTTGTGCAGATATAAATAGTACTATTATGTTTATTTAGTATATCTGATTAATCTCATAGGATGTGTTTCTTTGAGTTAAACAACACACTAGCAAAGTGCTCAACGGTTATTTAGTCAGCGCGCACCGCTCAAGCAGAATGCACGACTAATAATAACCGTGATTAATTTGGGACTGTCATATCACATAACATGAGAACACTATTTTATTAGTTCATTGAGAATTCATTGGGTTTAGTTGCTGTTTTCAGTGTGTTGTTCCAGGAAGAGCATGTCCACAACAGTCACACATTCTGACAAGCACATCTGAGGCGGTTGGTGACACGACGTTGTATTTGTCGTTTTATTTGATTATTAAATAATTAATGTAATTATCAATCACATCGATATATTTTACAATCCTACCAGCCCTTTACTTAGATAAAAAAAAAAAAAAAAACAGCGTTTTGAGCAGCATTTACAGACCCTGTCCAGCTGTTGGCTATATGACAGAGCAGACACATATTGCAATATTAAGGCTAACGATTAATCGATCGTTAATTTGAACGACGACCGATCATGGGAATTTGTGAAAATTGACATCCCTATGTGTTTCTTTTTTTGACAGGACGATATGAGGTGTCTTTACCTCGAAAGGTCTGTCCAAAGTGCAAGACTGAATGGACTCCAGGGGTAAAAGACCTTATGCAATATAATTATTGGCCAAGCACCACAAACTGCCAAACGTTGTATGCATTTGAAGTGTTTGAGGCTTTCTCTAACATGAAACTGTCAGCTCCCTCGCTTTCAAGACATGCTTTTTTAAAGCTGTTGGAGCACCAGTCTGTTCAAGGAGGAAGGGTTAGTCTGCCTGAATCACATTGTAACACACAATTATGACTGTATTTGTAATTTTGTGGGTATGTTTTTTTTTTTCTTCCTCTAAATCCATTGTTTGTTTTTTCATTTCATAGAAAATCTATGGATCTATAGGAAAAAAATCTAAAATAGGGAAAATCTGTGCGGATATGTTTCAAAAGAGCTATTTTGAATATTGCCTATGCAAACATTCAGAGGACATGATGTCTGAAGTTGACTCTTTTTGCTGTCCAGCCTGTCAACCTGACATGTTGGCAGTGTGTTGTGATGGCAACCGAAAACATTACCGCTTCCGAAAATCAAGAGGGTATGTAATGTCTCACTTGTTTTTTAACAAGAACATTGTCATTGAAATAGTTGCATGTAGAGTAATGTGCATTTACTGCATTAGTTAAATTAGGTATGTTGTGATCATTTGTACAGAACCGAGGAACCGTCTTTATATGAGGGCTTGTTTATAGCCAAAGATGATGAAGTTCTGACCTTTCTGGAGAAAATCAGAGGAAACAGCGGGGCAAGAGTAAGTTTGATTCTGCATACCATAATCTGTTTATTTATGTGTGTAAGATGTGTGTGTATATTTGTTGAAATGAGTAACTGCTGACTTCACAGGCAAATGACAGTGGGACGTGTGGGGTGTCGAGGTTCAAGGCGAGTAAGGAGACATCCAACAAATCCTCCTCAAAAATTGATGAAGAGGGCATTCAGGTGGCAGTTTGCAGGTGTGTTCGAATTTCAGGAGAGTGTTCCTGTACAGTGTCATTCATGTTGTGGACACTAATCTATTTATTCACCTGAATGTCATTTTTTGATGTAAAGTAAAAACAAGAAATGTGACTGTACGAGAGAGAGGAAGAAAGTGTATGTTAGTGTGTGCGTAAGGATTTAGAGCAACTCTTTTTGTGTATGTTGATCATTACTAAACTCATTGTCTCTTATCAATCAGACACGGGATATTATTGCGTGCCCTGAACCACTACCGTGGAGAAATCTTCGCATATCCAATGTTTATCCAAAAGGACATGGCAGAGAGGGCAAATGTTACCTTCTTCGCAATGGATGTTATCTGCAGGTAACTTCTCTTGGTAAACCTACTGTATATCAAATGACGCATACCTGAATGTTTTAGTCTGAGTCGTAGTTTTCGATTGATTTCCAAGCAAATTGTGTTGGTAATACCAATAATGATGCTCTTGTTTTCTAGGTACTGGCCCTACCTAAGCAAGGTGGCTGATAATTTCACCGATATGCAGCCGTTGATGGAAATGAGGCCATTTCTGAGTGTCATGCACGCCAAAGCGCACACCGCAAAATGCGAGGTACCTGAAATGACTGTAAATGGAGTAAGTTTAATATAATACATTACATTACACTTTTACCATTAGAAGGTAATGATAAATCACTGTTACAGGTGAGATGGGGTGGCAGGAATCAGGATGGAGCAGGGAACACTGTCGGAGAGGAAGTTGAGCAGGTTTGTTATTGCTGACTTAGTAACTATGTGGACATAGGAGACTTAACTGATACATGTGAGATAAGCAGAGTGTGAAGGATAAAGTACATCAGGATATCAAACAAAGATCTATGCTTGTTAGAATGGCCATCAGCATTTTCTGAACTGCAGTTGCAACACCCATTTGATTATGTCTGAGTAAAAAGTGAAGTCAGCAGTGTAGGTGTATAGATGTTCTATCATTATTTCAAGCTATGTTCCTTCTGAGCTGCACCATTTAAAGGGTTAGTTCACCCAAAAATGAAAATTCTATCATCGTTTACTCACCCTCATGTTGTTCCAAACCTCTATGCGTTTATTTGTTCTGCTGAACACAGGAAGATTTTTTGGAAGAATGTTTTAATCAAACAGATCTCAATCCCCATTGACTACCATAGTGTGTATTTTTCCTACTATATGGAAGTCAGTGAGGATTGAGATCTGTTTGATTGTTGGCTATGTCACAGCCCAGTTGGCTATGTCACTCTAATATCCAAGGTTGTTCCCAACTTAGAAAATTCAGGCTCGATCTTGCCAATTTGGTTGTGTATGGAGACCACTGAAAGGGTGTGTTCGTTTTAATTTCCATGGCATTATAAGGGGAGAGCTAATTGACGATCAGATATTATTAAAAAAAATACTAATAATATGGATACATGTTTTGTGTATTTTTTTTTTTTGTGTTAAGTAATGGGAATACATTAATTTCTGTATTGTTTTTACATGTAGGTAAACAGCTTCCTCTCCAGGGCAGCTCTTGTCACGAAATACATGACAAAGGCAGGTTGGTATGACATATTACAAACCATACACCGTGAGGAGGTATTTCTGACTTCTAAAATGTCATTTTCATGTTTTCCTCTCACTAAAGTAATTGTTGTATTAAGTCATGTCTAACTGCAATGGTATTTCCCATTTAAACTGATCCAATCACTCATGCAGATTTATGTTTTTTCAATCAGGGAGAGAAAATATGCTCACTCAACAGGCCATGGGGTGGAACAAAAAAAAAACAGCAAACCTTCACAAGGTCTTGGCCAACAGATACATCAAGGTAAGGACATTTTTCTATGTTCCTCTGGCCAGACACAACATACATTTTAATAACAAACAGCGTAGCTGGAGTCTGGCCATCTGTAATAAGCTCATTCATACACTGATTTTTAAACTGTAGATTAATGAATTTCTTGATCCCGAATTTTTGTGTGTTTGTGTCATTTAAAGATCTCAGAGAGGGCAAAGGTGGAAGCTGCCAGCTTCAGTGATTTCAGCCTGAGAAATGGCATCACTGAACAAACAGCACAGCAGTGGGTGTGTGATGTTCAGGAGTGGGCAATCACAGGTAAATCATGCACAGTGCTCGGACTCTTCAGAAATACAACTGTTAGTTACTTTGTTCAAATATGAACTACATAAGGTGATCAGAATCTTTCAAATGAAACTATCGCTTGACTGTGTTACCTATTCAGAGCCAGGTAGCACAACACAACAGGGAGCAACAGAGGATCTCAGGGCTGAGATAGAAAGTATCATAGTGTCCCTGCTACGCAAGAAGCAGGACCTCTATCGTCAGCATGGTTGGTTGACAAATATTGAAATGGCACATTCCAAATGCAAACAAACAAAAACTCTGTTTTCCTTAGAGTTTTATTGTTTCACTTTGCAGATAGCAACCAGACCAGACAAAGAAAGAGAAGAAAAATAAGAGAATTAAAAAACAAACTAAGACAAAAGATTGTACTCTACAATACTATTGCAGAGGATACGATTGATGGGGAATTGGCTTCCAATTTGACAGAGGACTACATCCTGCCTTGGGAGAGAAGTGAGGATGGTATGGTAGCCTATCTTGACATGTTTTCTAAAATGTATGCCTACATGCCTATGGTATAGCAATGACAAACTCTCTCTATCTCTCAATCTGTCTATCTATATGTGTATGTTTGGGTTTGTAACTTAATTGTGAATACTAAATCACTTTTTCATATTTCCATCAATTCCCTCTACCCATAGGCCATTCCTTCAGATTAAAACGGTCTGTTTTTGACCAAACAATGCTAATTAGACGGCTTGAGGAAGAGCAGAGCATCCTTGTGAAGGAGATGTCTCAGCACATCACGTCTCTACGAGAGGAGATAAAGGCAGTGGATAAGCTTCAAGAGAACATCAGAATGGGCTGTAAGTCAAATTCTGAATTTTTTTTTTTCCCTCACTAAATTAGTCCCTTTCCTACTGCTCAACTCACCTCAACTTGACTACAGTAATTTCCTGTGTATTAGCCACATTGTGTATAAGCCGCAGGACAGTGTTTTATGCAAGTTAAAAGAAACAAAACCATATCACTTCCATATTAACTGCCCCCGTGTATTAACCTCATAGCTGAAGAAATTTTGCAAAATCAATATAAACTGCGGCTAATAGTTGGGAAATTACGGTTCTCTGGTTACAGACGTTTTGTTTACCACTGCATAAAAGTACCATTTAATGTAATTGGTGGCTATAGCGACACTGAAGTAAACATCACCAACGTGGAAAAGATGGTAACAGCAATGACTATAGCAGATAAAATCAACAGCATTCTGTATTTATCACAATACAGGCACGTTTTTGGGGAGATGGCAATATTTACTCTTAGGCATAAAAAAAAAAAAGTTTGAGGTTCCGGTTCCGGTTGATTGTCAGTTCAGGTCATGGGTCGGTAGGGATTTTTTTTTTTTTTATAATTTAATTAAAAAAAATTTTCAGTGGCAGCAACGGATGGGTAGGAAATTATTCAGGGCTTGACATTAAAGGGATAGTTCACAAAATAATTTTTTGATATGTTTTAGCTTACCTCAAGGGCATCCAAGATGTAGGTGTTTTTGTTTCCACAGTATTTTCAATTTTGATATTTTTAGGTCAAACCTGTGCTCCGCTCATGTGTGTAGATTTTTCTGCGCGAGCGTCAACAGCGCAACCTTACCATCAGTAATACAGTAGGCCTACATTTATTATCCACAATCGATCGCAACTTGCAATAAATGTAATAAAATCAGAATCATTCTCTCGGTTAAGTGATTCCCTAGTTATTTTTTGGTTTGTTATTGATGTTCTAATCCGGCAAAAAAAGACAGAAATGACAAAAAAAGACTTGTATAATATGTATTATAGTTCAGTTTGACGAACGATATCTGCCTCGTTTGTTAATAGCATTGCTGGAGGACAAGATGCATATAAAAAGACGGTGCTGTATAAAAACGTAAATTTATAGTTCGCCTCAAAGTTTTTTATTTGTGTATTTATTTAATTTTTATTATTTCTTCCCCAAGCTCATAAAATAAATTTGGGTCGTAATAATTGACAGGGTCGGTCGGAAACCGGAAACAAACACATTTTTTTTTATGCCTTATCAGCCGTCCTGTCCGTGCTAACACTGACAGATAGCTGCTGAGGGCATGCTCAGACATTACGATGCTGGTGATAACGATGACAACTTAGCAATCTCCAATATTTACATATCATCGTTGGAACCTCAACAGAGGTGTAACCAAAAGTGGTAGGTACAGAGTGCTAAAAAGTCATGTTGAGCTGGTACCAGTCTATTTGTTTAGTTTTGTCCCACTGCCATCACACCCATATTAGTCATACTCCACCCTCACACTTTGTTTGGTCTATCCTCACCTCAACCCCACCCCCCAGTAACCACAGTATATGACAATTAAATGTCCTTGTTTCACTTGTTTAAGATTTCATGCAACAAACAACCAAATGTTTCTCTCTATGTGGCTCTACATGCTATGATTTTGGGACAATACTTGTAATTCTTATGTTTATGTATGTTACAGATTTTGGTGACATGTCAGACGATGCTGCATCTGGTTGGAAAAGTGTCCTCATGCGGAGGTCCTCCATACTGGGGAGTTTATTCCAAAATGCTGTGAGCACGTACAGGGCTATAGTTGACGACCTCCAGATACAGGACACAGAATGCAGTACGGACATTGATGACGAGTATGACCTTAGTAGTCCAGAGTCAGAAGATTAGGAAAGAGACCACTCTATGTTTTGTTTTTAAAATCTGTCAACTTTGTGTTTTATTTTCCTTTTTCTTTTCTTTTTTCTTTTTTTTAAAGCCTAATCCCACTCATAGGATCTCATTCATGAAACGTTCGTAAATATACAAGTACATATGTGAGTGATTTGTGCGTAAAGAGACATTGCAGAAAATTCTTCTCCTGATTCACAACTACTTTGAAAACATCAGCTTACACAGAAGTGTGTGTGTTAATGAATTCCAATCAGTTGTAAATGGGACGTGCATGCACGCTCATTCTCTCAATTACCATAAATCCTGCGGACAACTATATATGGGCATCATATTATGACACCAAAGGAAGGATTTCAATGTTACGTCAAAAGCGTTTTATTATCAGAAGTTTATTCAAAACGCCACATTTTATTTTCAAGCGTACATAGTGGTGTATCGGGTCCTAAAAAAAAAGATTTTTTGAGGTAATAATGCTTTTACCTTAGTGCTTAATGGAAAAATGCTTTGCAGCACATTACAGATGCAGTTAATGGAGTTTCATCTGTTAATCGAACAGTCCCAGAAGTGAAAAGAAAATGGTTCGACATGAAGCTTGGCTGCAACACTTATTACTTGCAGACTAGTTAAAAAAAATTGAATAAACAGCTTGAATATATATAAATATATATATATATATATATATATATATATATATATATATATATATATTTTTTTTTGAATATAATAAAAAAAGACTTGCGGACTTGTGTTCCATTTGCAGATGCTATTACTGGCTCTCATCATAAAAGTAAAAAGTAAAACCGTACGTAATTACTATATATATATATATATATATATATATATATATATATATATTTATGATGTGTAAACATGTACCTGATTAAGGTGAATTTTAAAATGCTGCCTTTCAAAACGTACTAATGTTAAACGCACTACTTACGCGTGGCAGGGAGCAGGTGTAGATTTCTTTCGAAAAATTTACGCCAGAACCACTTTACACACGATTTACTTTTTTTTTTTCTCCTCGTGTCTCATGAATGAGACCCATTATGTTCTGTTTATGTACAAATGAAGAGTTCAGATGCAAAAGCCTCTAAATGCCATTTGAAATTTTCTTCTAGAATGATCATTTTTATCAAGCTTGTATATTTAAGTTCAGTAATTTCACTTAAATAACAATTAATAGGTGATTATCATTGCCATTTAAGTGAAATCACTGAACTTAAATATACAAGCTTGATAAAAATGATCATTCTAGAAGAAAATTTCAAATGGCACTTAGAGGCTTTTGCATCTGAACTCTTCAAATGTACATTTACACTGTAATTACACTTATACATAGCCATATTCTACTGCTCTCCATACTATTCATCCTGAAACATACACTTATTCTTACTACTCATAATGTTTCTGCACTACAATGGTACTGTTACCACACTGCACATAGATGTACATATGTCTATATGGTTCATACTGAATATCCATATTTATTTTGTTTTTCTTACACTGCATACACATTATTCTTACTACTATTATAATGTTACAGATACTACTTTTCACATATCGTATTGTTCATGCATTGTTCATATTACATTTATAGTTCATTTTCATTATTCTAAGCCATGTTCGGTAAACCAACTGTATACTTCTGTCTACACTGCATTATTGTCCTGTCTACTTTGTATATCACAATGCTTGTTTCTCTGTAAGTTCGTTCCTTCTTGACTAGTTCACATGATGTTTTGTGGAAATTGTATAGAGGATAAATTATGGTCTTAAGGAAATAAATAGAAAATCCACCTTGAATATGATTTCCCGTTATCTCAGAAGAAATGTAAAAGTCTTCCTACTTGAGTATGGGAAGTGTGTATTTTTGACAACTCTGTCCATGAGTAATAAATTAAAAAAATTAGATGCCCGCACTCTTCTATTTCTCTCATACTTTTATTGTGCAAAAATGCAGGGTCAAAACGTTGCAGCACAGTATTTATGGGGAAAATAGCAGAGTGCGGGTATCTTACCTTATAATTATAATACCTTATAATAATATTAATCCATAAAATAAATGGATGACTGTTGATAAAAAATTATAATAATTCTAGGCTACAAGAGGTTATTGAGAGGGATTGGCATGTTAATGGGCTTTGTGTGGTTTAATCTGCAAGTGGCTGAAAGGTCTATTAAAGAAGTTTATTTCAAAATTAAAATTAGCCCATGATTTACTCACCCTCAAGCCATCCTATATGAATGTGAGTTTCTTCTTTCAAACGAATACGATCAGAGTTATATTAATAAACACCCTGGCCCTTCGAGCAGTGAATTGCAGCCAACAGATTGAAGCTCAAAAAAATCTATCCATCATAAAAGTGCATCTGTCTATCATAAAAGTGCATCTATCTATCTATCATAAAAGTGCATCTATCATCATAAAAGTGCATCTATCCATCATAAAAGTGCATCTGTCCATCATAAAAGTGCACCTGTCCATCATAAGTGCATCTATCCATCATAAAAGTGAATCTATCATCATAAAAGTGCATCTATCATCATAAAAGTGCATCTGTCCATCATAAAAGTGCATCTATCTATCATAAAAGTGCATCTGTCCATCATAAAAGTGCACCTGTCCATCATAAGTGCATCTATCCATCATAAAAGTGCATCTATCATCATAAAAGTGCATCTATCATCATAAAAGTGCATCTGTCCATCATAAAAGTGCATCTATCTATCATAAAAGTGCATCTGTCCATCATAAAAGTGCATCTATCTATCATAAAAG